CACACACACACACACACACACACACACACACACACACACACACACACACACACACACACACACACACGCTTACAGGGGGCTTTTTTAAAAAGGATGGGAGCAACCGGGAGCAAGAATTGACGATGGGGAGGTCTGTGGGATGGCTGGCTACAGAGAGTGAGCATTAATTTTTTCCCCCCTCGACTGCTCTCACCGGCCCAGTTGGCTGCTTCCCTTGTGCATGTAAAGAATTCAGAAAAAATTCACAAAAAAATCTCCAACAACTTATAATGGGAGGACGGTGACTCCCGGATGTACCAATTCCCGCCTTCCTGCCTGCAGCATTTTGAGCACGGCAGGAGAGGTACCACGTCAGGGGGTACCCACACCTTCGTTCTTCTTTTTTCTTTTTCCTTTTTCTTTTCTCTTTTTTCTTTCCTTTTTCTTTTTTCTTTTTTTTTGTTTTCTTTCTTTTCTCTTTTTCGATGTTTGTCCCGGACTTCCCCTCCCTCGGTTTCGAAATCTGACGGCAGATTGAGAATCAAAGAGCCGCATCGAGAAGGCCAAGCCATTGGTACAGGATTATGTCGAGCGCGCTACGAACAGGGTGTACCACGCAAGGAGAGGCATACCGCCACTCGAAGAAAGAGAGATTTGAACTCTTGGGCGGGACATTAGAGCAGGATCCTGACGAACGCACGGGAGAGTTTTTTCTTTCTTTCTTCCTTCTTTCTTTCTTTTTCTTTTTCTTCTCTTTTCTTCTTCTTTTTTTTTTCTTTTTTTTCCTTCTTTTGCCTCCCTCGAGCGCGCTACAAACAAGGCGTACCATGCGAGGAGAGGCACACCGCCACTCGAAAAGAGAGATTTGAACTCTTGGGCGGGACATTAGAGCAGGATCCTGACGAACGCACGGGAGAGTTTTTTCTTTCTTTCTTCCTTCTTTCTTTCTTTTTCTTTTTCTTCTCTTTTCTTCTTCTTTTTTTTTTCTTTTTTTTCCTTCTTTTGCCTCCCTCGAGCGCGCTACAAACAAGGCGTACCATGCGAGGAGAGGCACACCGCCACTCGAAAAGAGAGATTTGAACTCTTGGGCGGGACATTAGAGCAGGATCCTGACGAACGCACGGGAGAGTTTTTTCTTTCTTTCTTCCTTCTTTCTTTCTTTTTCTTTTTCTTCTCTTTTCTTCTTCTTTTTTTTTTCTTTTTTTTCCTTCTTTTGCCTCCCTCGAGCGCGCTACAAACAAGGCGTACCATGCGAGGAGAGGCACACCGCCACTCGAAAAGAGAGATTTGAACTCTTGGGCGGGACATTAGAGCAGGATCCTGACGAACGCACGGGAGAGTTTTTTCTTTCTTTCTTCCTTCTTTCTTTCTTTTTCTTTTTCTTCTCTTTTCTTCTTCTTTTTTTTTTCTTTTTTTTCCTTCTTTTGCCTCCCTCGAGCGCGCTACAAACAAGGCGTACCATGCGAGGAGAGGCACACCGCCACTCGAAAAGAGAGATTTGAACTCTTGGGCGGGACATTAGAGCAGGATCCTGACGAACGCACGGGAGAGTTTTTTCTTTCTTTCTTCCTTCTTTCTTTCTTTTTCTTTTTCTTCTCTTTTCTTCTTCTTTTTTTTTTCTTTTTTTTCCTTCTTTTGCCTCCCTCGAGCGCGCTACAAACAAGGCGTACCATGCGAGGAGAGGCACACCGCCACTCGAAAAGAGAGATTTGAACTCTTGGGCGGGACATTAGAGCAGGATCCTGACGAACGCACGGGAGAGTTTTTTCTTTCTTTCTTCCTTCTTTCTTTCTTTTTCTTTTTCTTCTCTTTTCTTCTTCTTTTTTTTTTCTTTTTTTTCCTTCTTTTGCCTCCCTCGAGCGCGCTACAAACAAGGCGTACCATGCGAGGAGAGGCACACCGCCACTCGAAAAGAGAGATTTGAACTCTTGGGCGGGACATTAGAGCAGGATCCTGACGAACGCACGGGAGAGTTTTTTCTTTCTTTCTTCCTTCTTTCTTTCTTTTTCTTTTTCTTCTCTTTTCTTCTTCTTTTTTTTTTCTTTTTTTTCCTTCTTTTGCCTCCCTCGAGCGCGCTACAAACAAGGCGTACCATGCGAGGAGAGGCACACCGCCACTCGAAAAGAGAGATTTGAACTCTTGGGCGGGACATTAGAGCAGGATCCTGACGAACGCACGGGAGAGTTTTTTCTTTCTTTCTTCCTTCTTTCTTTCTTTTTCTTTTTCTTCTCTTTTCTTCTTCTTTTTTTTTTCTTTTTTTTCCTTCTTTTGCCTCCCTCGAGCGCGCTACAAACAAGGCGTACCATGCGAGGAGAGGCACACCGCCACTCGAAAAGAGAGATTTGAACTCTTGGGCGGGACATTAGAGCAGGATCCTGACGAACGCACGGGAGAGTTTTTTCTTTCTTTCTTCCTTCTTTCTTTCTTTTTCTTTTTCTTCTCTTTTCTTCTTCTTTTTTTTTTCTTTTTTTTCCTTCTTTTGCCTCCCTCGAGCGCGCTACAAACAAGGCGTACCATGCGAGGAGAGGCACACCGCCACTCGAAAAGAGAGATTTGAACTCTTGGGCGGGAGATTAGAGCAGGCCTTGACGAGTACACGGTGGAGAGTTTTCCTTTCTCTTTTCTCTTTTCTCTTTTTTCTTTTTTTTTCTTTTTTCTTTTTTTCTTTCTTTTTTTCCTTTTTTTCTTTTTTTGGGAAGCAAACAGTCTCGAACTACTGCTACGGGATCCGCGATAGGGAATAGTTAGGCGATATTCTTTTTGGAGGCATGTACAGGACACAGAATGATAACTAGGTACAAAACCTGCCGGTCTGAAACGGGGAGTTACTACGACGACTTTTTTTGGGGCAACAACGACAACGACAAGCGGGGGCCAGAAGTCTGTAGGGTATAAAACTGGGAACGACACTGTAGCAAAACATCATTTGCGTAACTCGAACCGGCAATCTGAAGTGACCTTCTCGATCAAGCAAGCGGGAGTTCGACCACCGGAGGCCGTCTGTCAACATGGATTTCTTCACGAACCTGGATCTCGTCGATGACTTGATGGAGCTCGAAGAATCGGTATAGTCCACACACCCCTTGACGTTGTTTACGTCAGGTGCATGAGACTGGTATCAGCACGCAGCAGCCGACGATACGCAGCGATAGCAGGGCCGGTAGCAACCACCGCGCAGCGCGACGCACAGCCCGCTAGCATGCCAGACAACGCCGAGGCGGGAGGTAGCAGGGCGGAGGAAAGTATAGCCATCTACGCCTTCATCACATACCTTGTGCTCCTCGCTGGCCTAGCTCTTCTGAGCTTCATTGCAACCCTGCCGCCTCAGCCATCCTCGCCTCCTCCGTGGTCTGAGCCCTCCTCTTCACCCCCCCACTCCCCCTCTCCTCCCCCCCATTCCACCTGGCCCTCTCCCCCGCAATCCACCAATCAGGTGCGTTGTCGGGGTTCACTCTACGATCTGCCGTTACTAGCGGCACCTGTTCCCCACATACCTTCCCCACCGCCTCCTCCACCTCCCCCCCCCCCCCCCCCCCCCCCCCCCCCCCCCCCCCCCCCTCCCCCTCCCCCTCCCCCTGCCCTGTCCCCTCCCTCAACCCCGTCCGTCCCCCTCCCCTCAAATACCAACTGCGCGTCCTTCTCTCCCCAATTCCTGTCTCCATGCTCCTCGCCAACAGCAGGTCCCTGCATGCAACGGACCTCGCTTGTCTTTCTTGGCGCATCCACGCTGACGCTGACACTAATGCCCAACGCGCTGCTCAGCGGAGCTCTGTTTTGGGCTTGTCAAACAGAACGAGTGCTCCTCGCCCCAGCCAAGCATGCATCCGCGCTTATCTGCTTCTCCATAGGCTACGCAACTGTTTTTTTTGGCATGTGCGGCTTGCGCCACGATTACGGGAGGAATGTTGCTGCTTCGGGTTGTTTCGAGCTAATGA